TTGATCAACATTTAAGAGATTTTCAACCGTAGTCATCATTGGGCGTAATTTCGGGATTATACTCATATCATCATTCATTTGGCCGTATGGTTAATTCTTATTGAATCCTCCTCTGAATTCCCTTAGAAATCCTCCCTGGAATTCCTTCTGAGCTCCATGAAATTCTACTCTCAATCTCCATAGTAGCAACCGGTGGAAACTAACGATTTTAATTTGGCTCACACTTGACTAGTCTATTGCTCCCAAGTACATCGATAACGTATTCCATTCTAGCCGTAATTCTAATACTACACTATGTTTGTTTTGATTCACTATGAAAGTTTGACATGTAAAATGAGGGGTTCGTGGATTTTCCTATGTTTCGAGGGGTGCATCGATAGTACCAAGGCTGAGCCAAAAAGTTGAGCACGTTTCTTCGGGACCTTTTGGTCTTAAAGTTACCTCTATGATAGTAGTCTCTTCAGAACTAGCTAAGGATTCACCTTTAGTTTTCCTTAAAATTTTCTTGAAGTGCTTCTGAAAATAACTTGAAATTTCTAGCCATATTCCCGAGAATTTCTTCAGAATTATCCCTCCAGCATTCTCATTAGGGACCACCCTCCCCTTGGCTAGTTTTTAACCTGGAAGTTGGTGGGCGGGCCTAATCTTATGTTTCATAGTGGAGCGTTGGAGACGGTTGGTTTAGGTTCGGCATCGCTGGCTCATACCGTGACAGAATAGCGTCATGAGCATGCGATGAGGATTACTGAGCTTCCCCTCTCTGATGAACCATTGCATGAGAGAACCAAAGTTCTAGCCTGAAGTGATAGTATCACACTTGTTACTCCTTTGTTTGAGAGCCGCGTTGTAGTACGCTTACGTATAGGCACTGACGTTGGGTACTATACTGGCGGGTTTTTTCCGCAAATCACTCTTATTTTATTTATTTTTATGCCGATAGATTTATTTGGGTTTGCAAGGGAATTATACTATTGAAATATTTTAGAAAGTGCCCAACAGTGCTCCTTCTATTTGCGTGACAACAAATAAAAACAATGTTAACAATGTTAAACAGCATTTGTGTACATGGTATTGTAACTAATCTTATATGTGCTTCATTTTGATTTGGGTTAAGTGTTTGAATTATGGCTGGGGATTTCCACTGTGGCGTGCTTCTATTGTGACATCCATACGTAATTTTGTGGGACGACATAGTGGAAACGTGTGAGTGTAGTTGGAGCATATACCCTATATAATTTAAAAATCAGCTAGGAAACTAATTTCAAAATGAAGCATTTTAGTCACTTGAAGGTGTCACCTAGGTCGATCTAAGATATAATAAATATAGATCAAAGTCAAAATTACTTTTTTTTTTTATTCGTTTTTCGTCGATCTTGTTTTTCGTGCTGAGCACCAATGCTACCGACGCCAGGAAGGCAGCTCCCACACCAGGACCCTACCTATCGACCCATCAAACTCATGAACCGGGGACCAACGGCTTTACTTCCCTTTCGAAGCGTGATCAGAGATGTTATACCTCAGAACATCCCGGCGGGTTTGAACCCAGGCCTACTGGGGTGAGAGGTAATCACGCTTACCACTACACCACCGGTGCCGCTAAAATTACTTGAAACACGTTAAATTTTAGATTACATAGCAGTTTAGGGACTTAATAAAGCATGAGTAATTATTGATTAGGTAAATTAGAGATTTCAATTATTTATTAAATTAGACTAATGAGATATCATAATCATCAAACGAACTTAAATAAGAAAATTTAGACAGCCTAATAACATAAAGTAGATTAACAAAAGAGTTAGGATGCGGGGGTCCGCTTAGGGAGGCAACTAGCTTTTAAAGCAACTGGCAACTAGCATTTTCATATATTGTCTGTTTATTTTGATTGTTGCTTTAAAATATCAATTTGTTATATATGTGAAAGGATGAATCAGTATGAGATGGATTTTCGGTTTCTTTACATTTTGCATCACAAATCTAGTACTATGTGTCATTTCCTCAAAACCCCCCAATAACCGACCTCTTCAATCCCTTCCTTTTCCCATGGCGTTCAAGTGGTCCGCATAGACTATTCAGTCATTACCCTTCCTTTATTCTCGGCCTGGGATTGACTTGCGCTCCCATTGCCCCACCAAACGCTTCAAAATGAAAATGAAAATGAAAAGCATTCTCATTAGGGACCACGCATAAATTAAGCAGCACAATGTCGACCAATTGTGAACCCACATCTTCTTCGTAGCGTGTTTTCGTAGAGGTAACTCTAAGACCAGAAGGTCCCGAAGAAACGTGCTCAACTTTTTGGCTCAGCTCTCATACTCTCTTCGGTCTCAAGCTAATCGATGCACCCTTCAAAATATAGGAAAATCCACGAACCCCTCATTTTATCTGTCAAACTTTCATAGCGAATCAAAACATACATAGTGTAGTACTAGAATTTTGACTACTATGGGCTACGCTTATAGATGTACTTGGACCAATAGGCTAGTCAGGTAGTGAGCCAATTTAAAATCGTTAGTTTTCACCGATCGCTGTTTTGCTATACCTAATACATGGAAGGTCACAACATCTGATACACCTCCCCCTACCCCCTCAAATGCTACGTTATTTATGTATGTTCCCTTGTAATTAAATGCTTCAAAACCTAAAATTTAATTTAAGTCCAAAAGCCTTGATTTTTTCTATATCTGTGATATTTTAAAACGTACTGAAATCAAAAAAATCTTCTCAAAATGACCTGAAATGTCTAGTCAACTTTCCCAGAATTTCTTCGGAATTATTTCTACACTCAAAAAAAAATCACCTCAGAGCCACGTGAAAACATAGGTAGCTTTCTCTCAACCCTTTCTTCACGTAAGAACTTTATGATTTTATGATAGATTTTATGATTTATCCCATCTTCATTGAATGAAGCGTACCATAATTTCACGTAAAAGTTACGTGATTTGATAGATGGTTTGGACGGATAGATGGTTTCAGGTGGTAATTATTTTAAAGCCAGCTCCCAAATGCTGTCGTAAGTTAATTAGGTTTTCGAATGCAGAGCTCAAAATGCTCAACATTTATTTGTTTGCTTCGAATAAATAATAATATACACGACATGCAAATATATATTAAACTACATGATTTGACATGATAATTCTCACAGGAAACGCGTCAAATCCTAAAAATTATTGTATGTAATTTGAATTGTATTGTGTATTTGAAAATTTATTTTTTTAAATCTCGATTAAATTGAATTCAATAATACCAATTTAACACAACAAACTAACATCAAAGCTGCATCACCGCCATATTGAATAGCACGAATTTTTTCATACATGCAAATCACTTACTATTTAGGTGAAATTCACCTAATAGCATCGGACATGAAAATCACGTAACTTTTATCTCAATTTCTATTGACAATTATGTCCCGAACGCAATCAATAGTCTCATCATCAATTAAAATAGAGGCGTTGTCATACACTCGATTCCGTGAAATTAGCATCAATTTAGTTTTACTTGTATTCAATTTCAACTGCTTACACTTCAACCATCTACTTAGGGATCGTCCATTAATTATGTCACACTTTTAGGGCGAGGGGAGGTTTTGGAAACTGTGACGAGCCATACAAACAAAATTAAGGTCCATACAAAAATGTGACAAGGGGGAGGGGCAAATGGGCAAAATTTTGGGTGACATAATTAATGGACCTTCCCTTAGAGAACGCAAATCTTGATTAAAGTGTGAGACGGTAACTTCTCAGCTGCAGTGAATAACACACATCTGCAAAAGATTAATGCCGGAAATCGTAAAACACGTCGCATGTCTTTAATATACATAATAAAAAAAGGGCTCTAATACGCTTCCCTGGGGCACTCCAAGGCTATTCCCCACGGGACTTGAAACAGAATCATTAAAAACAGTTCGTTGAGTTCTGTCACCCCAATAGCTTTCAATCCATTTATATGCAGTACTGGAAATTCCAAAGCGCTTGATTGATCGTACCAATAAGGGCCTAGAAATTGTTTCAAAAGCGCGTTCGAGGAAATGGAATTCAAATTTGAGTGAGTCTCAGCAGTCATTTAGCAAAATACGACTTCATGAAAGTCTAGATCTGTTCGCTATTTTATTGTTTAAGCTTATAAAATGTTAAAAGACTCTCTACCAGACATTGAGTGTAAGAAGGTAACATTTTTTTCTGGAATTCCCATGGTTCCGGGTGACCTTGCTACTACCTGCACAGTGATGACGCCGCCACCGGAGACGACGGCGACGTTCATGCAGAGATAAGTAATTATTAATTACCGAATTTGTGCTCACCGCGGCATGCATAATTAGACGATGGAGGGAAGCAAAAACAAAAATCGCACATTCAACGTTAACACATGAGATACGACACATATAGCTGGCCGAGCCGAGTTCTCCTGCGAAGAGAACAGCCACATGTGACCAAACCGGACAAAACAAAAAAAAAGAACCAAAGAGCTTCTCCTCGGCGCAAAACACCAATTTTGAGTCATTATTCTCGTGTAAATTCATTAATCAAATTGATGAGCGTTATTCAGTGCGCGGCTCCTCCTTCTCTATGCCTACCTCATGCGTTGACGCGTCGCTTTTTATGAGAGAGAGAGGGGTATCATATGGAGAGTTCAGCCAAATTTGTCGCTGCTGCATGCTTGCCGGTGATCGTCATATTTTTAAATGTGTCTGCAAGCCTTTGCGGCTATTGTGTCTGTCGGCGTTAGGTACATTAATCGTAAAGTGCAACTCAGCCATCATCAACCAGCAGGTTGTACACCACCACACGTTGAGTTGAGTTTGGACCGAATGGATTTCCTTGATTAGCGAAGCGTTACAGGGTCAGGGCCAGAACGAATTGTTTGGTGCTCTGCGACTTAGTGGTGGCACGATGTTGACGCGATATTTCGGTAGATTTGTATTGAATTTTTGGATTTGGGGAAGGGTTTCGAACGTTCGAATTGTTGTCTAACGTCAATCTTCTGCTTCTCTCAACTTCCAGATCTTTGCCAACAAGGGTGACCTGCAGCTTCACGGTGGCCAGTTGCACATGCGCGAAACCAAACCGTACAAGTGCGCTCAATGTACAAAGGCGTTTGCCAACTCGAGCTACCTGTCCCAGCACACCCGGATACATTTGGGCATCAAGCCGTACCGGTGCGAAATCTGCCAACGAAAGTTCACCCAACTGTCACACCTGCAGCAGCACATACGAACGCACACCGGCGACAAACCGTACAAATGTCGACATCCGGGCTGTCCCAAGGCCTTCTCTCAGCTCTCGAACCTGCAGTCTCACTCGCGTTGCCATCAGACCGACAAACCGTACAAATGCAACTCCTGCTACAAGTGTTTCAGCGACGAAGCGTCCCTGCTGGAGCACATACCAAAGCACAAGGACTCGAAGCACCTGAAGACGCACATTTGCCAGCTTTGTGGCAAGTCATACACCCAGGAGACCTACCTCGCCAAGCACATGCAGAAGCACGCCGAGAAAGAGGAGAAGCGCCGAAATCGGGGAAACAATAGCAATAATAACAATAGTAACAATAACAACAACAATCCTGCAGTGGCGGTTGCAACATCAGGAATATCGGCAGCCGATGCGGCCGCTGGATTAGCGGGCCTAGCAGGATTAGGCATCAATCGAATGGGTGGTATGGTCGGTAATGCCGCAGCTGCAACACTAGTGGGTGTAACGGCAGCCGGTGGCGAACATCCTTACTGGCCTAAGGTTAGTCCCGACTCGGCAGCCTCCCTAGCAGAAGCCATGCAGCAACAACAGCAGCAGCAGTACGACTTTGCTATCCAACAGCAGCAACAGCAGCAGCAACAACAACAACAACAACAACAACAACAACAACAGCAGCAGCAGCAGCAACAACAACAACAACAACAGCAGCAACAGCATGGTGGCAGCAACCAAGGAGGAGGTGGTAGCAGTAATTCCGCCAATGGTGAGTTTTGTTTTTAAAGATTTGATGTTGTGTCCAGCAGCTGTGGCCGACATTGTTTTTCTGATCTAGTTGCTTATCTTTCCGTTTCTTCCAGACCATCACCGTAATTTGAATGGTAATTCGGCCAACGCAGACGATGTCGGCGAAGATCTGGTAGTGATCCGGCAAAACCCTCAACAGCAGCAGCAACAGCAGCACGTGAACAATCAAACCCCAACCTCATCGGCAGCGAACGTAGCTGTGACGAGCGGTTCGTACGATACGTCGAGCGTGACCAAACCCACCTCCAATTCGGCATTTACCCCGATCAACGTGATGCCACAGCACCTCAACACGCTGGCCGCGGCCCACCACCATCAGCAGCTGGCAGCGGCACAGAGGCCATCCTACCTGTACGATGCCATTAGTTTTCAGAATCAGAAAACGATCCAGCAAGCGGTGGCCGGAAATGGCGGCGGCGGCGGCGGTGGTGGTGTTGGAAACACATTCCCCAACCAGCTGATTTCGTTGCACCAGATCCGGAACTACGCGCACCAACCGTCGAGTGGGTTGATAGCGGGTGAACATTTGCTCATGGGTGGGGTCGGTAAGGCAGAAAAGCAGTAGGAAGCGGCGCTAGCATTGATATTGCTGAGGGATTAGCAAGGTTTTCGTTTGGGTTTGAGCGGAAGTGAAAGGAAATCTTTCGTTTGAGCTTTGCAGGGTCGCCCAGGAGTTTCCCGTGCATTGCGATCGCCTTGATTGGGGATCGGAAATGTACAAGTCATGTTTTACGCCGGTTGAAGTCGATCTATCTGAGGAGCAGGTCATTTTCAATTAAAGATCTCACGCGTTTTTTTTTCTGGGAAGCTATGTGCTATCAAATCAGCCTACCGATCATCCATATACGATGTTGGTTCCAAACGACAACAAACCAACCTTATGGTTGGTTGACATTTGGAACACATTTTTTGCGAGGTAGGTGATGATTGTTCCTATTTGACAGTCACGTAACTTCCTTCACCTCCCTTAGCTCAGTCGGTAAAGGCGCAGCTATAAAGCAAGACCAATGCTGGAGGTTTGTTGGGTTCGATTCCCCGGTCTGGTCTAGGCATTTTTCGAGTTGCAGGGTGACCTGTGAACTGGAAAAAAAAAGACTCTGGATCTTGAACAAAATTCAGCACCCTTGGACTGGACTGGATTTTCCGGATGCAAGCACTTTGAAGAACTAAATTGATATAAATTCCGTAGAAATATTAACAAGATTTTAGAATTGAATTCAAGAGAGTACAATGTCAGAGAAAAAATCAAGAAGAGTTTTAGGAAGAACTCTTAAAGAGTTTGTGGAGATTCGAACCCATTCGTAAATGATCGAAGACGTTTATTACGGAAAGTATTAAACTCTTTTATTCTTGGCTACACGAGGTTACACGAATGACGAAATAAGTTTTACGAATGATCTTTCTTCTTTTTTAAGATGTGAGCTCAGAGTACAATTTTTAGGTGACGATTGTATAGAGGTCCATTTCTTATTAATATTCTTAATAAGTTCTGAGTAGAGTGTTAAGAGAGTTCTTATGAGAACTTCAAAGAAATTCCGAGGGTATTCAATTCTGAGGAAATTAAAAAGGAAGTTTCAAGTGAATTCTGAAGAAACTTTCAGGGAAAACTGAAAAATCGCAAGGGTTTCGAATTTTTAGGGTATGATGCCAAAGGAATTCTGGGAAGAGTTTTATCGCTATCCGATGATAGTTGCAAGGGTATCTTGAGATAATTTCTAGAGGATTCTAAGGAGAGTTTCAGGTGATTGTAATGGAGAGCTCTAAGATAATTCTTACCAGCATTTCAAGACAAAACTCTGAGGGGAATTACACGGACATTTTAATAGAATTCCTGCGAATTTTAAACATGTTGTATGTTTTATTATTGAAGAAAGCAGCAGTGAATTCTTGGATGAATCATAAACAATGCAAAGTGGATGTTAGGATAAATTCCGTCATGTTTTTGGAGTCTTCTGCATAGAATTTCTGGATTGTGTAAAGACATTTTCAAGGGACCAGAGAGAATCTCATATCTTAAAGGGTTTCTGAAAAGAACTCTATGAAGGGATATGATTCTAAAGGAAATCGATTCTAACAGAAAGGCCCCGTTATTTATTCCCCTCGAAGAATGATAGCACCCTCCGAAGGTGCGGCTCTTTATCAGTCAAAATTGGATTCCTTAGCAACCAAATTAAGCAATGACACCGATAATGACCATGCATCAGAACCCTAGTCTTATCCGCTTCTAGCTAAGGAACAACGAATAGAAGATTAGGAATCACTTAGATGAAGACTAACTCATTTTTCATTTTTCAAGATCATCCTGGGTCCAGGCAACCCGAGGACTTATCACTATTAATAAGGCATAACAAGTAACAAAGACTAAGATGTGTTCCTTCGATTACTGAAAAATCCTGTTCCCCTAGTTTGATGTAGTCAGGATTAGGAATCGGTGATAGATCTTACATTCTTTAACGTACCACGAAAAGGTGTTCTACCCAAGATACGGGGATGCTGTCTTAGTAATTACTCATTTAAAGTAGTGCTTCATTCGGCTCAATCGCATTCAGTTTAATGCTTGATTTAAAATTTATATCGCATTACCGGGAAATTTACCAAAATTTCAGGAAATTGCTAATCGGGATTTGCTGGTCATGATGGAGTTGAAACAATTTTAAACTTCCCTGGAATAGAGTAGTATGACTGTACTTGCCACAAAACAATACTACACACTGAATCCGGATCACTGATGTCGGTAAAATTTTGCTGGGTTTTTTAACAGTTGAAAATGTCGGTACAATTTCAAATAACCGTTGCACGTTAGGAATCAACGATTTTTGTTTTTAAACATTAAATTATGTTTTGAATTTTTCACTGATTTTTAAACTTTTACCGAACTGTTCCGTAGTTAAAAAATTACCGAATAGCGGAGGCCTGGATTCATATGTAATGCTTACACAGTTAATCTAGCTCCAACAGCCGATTACCTCGGCATTTACTTTTGCTGATATCTCTGCAAAATATCTGTTTGTTAGCTGATATCTCAGCAAAATAAATTGCAGAACTACTCGGCTGTTGGAATCTCGGCGAAAAAATTTAAGTGTGTAGAATCCACTGTGAAAGTGCTCAAAAAACACTAAGTAATAAAGCCAAAGAAGAAGATCCTGTCCTTGGATTTTAGAGAAGTAGGCTGTCACTATCATCTGATTAGAAGATGATGATAGAAATTTTCTTTAAAATCTCAGCCATCTCATGATATAGTACATGACGGTTTTTTGAAAATTTCAATTACAAGCTCATTCATTATTAACTATATCACGCAGAAAAAAGTTTTTTAATTTCAATGATATTATGTATTAAGAACAACAACAAAAATTATCATTCCCCGGCTAATAACTTTTTTTATTGAATTCAACAATAAATATTTATTGTTCGGACATAAAATATTTTCGTTTTTAAAATCTGTCAAAAACGCAATTAAAAATATATTTAGTTGAATTTACAATATTTATTTTCAAACAGACAAAATCTTGTTTTGATCAAAAAAATTAAGTTGCTACCAAAAATAACTTTTTTTGATTTAAAAAAAATGCTGCGAATAACAATTTGTTTTTTATAATTTAAAAAAAAATTGGTTTGGCTTAAATATTTTAATTTGTAATTGTAGCAGTTTTCCTATTCAAGAAATAATTTTAAATAAATTTAATAATTGTTTATGGTATCATTTTTTATTTATTAACAAACGGTACAAATTGTGATTCAATAGGTTTATCAATTATACAAAAATTACAAAAACGGACTTCTATATTTGACATTGCAAAATATTTCAATAATATTTTTTTTTTGGTTCAATAAGGTCAATTTTCTCTGCGTGATCGATTACATGCTGTTGCTTTTCAAAATTCATCTTAATCAGTTAGAAATTTTGTTTTAAAAAATGTATGACAATTTAGCTTGATTAATGAAAAATGACACGAAAGCTTATGATAGCAAGACGATCTGTTTTCTCATTCACACGTGACGTCCAGAACATTAGCCAGCTCTGCTGAGGAGTGTCAACTCTAGACTGATTGCTGATATTTTGGGTGACACGTAGCGTTACCTTTACCGCCCAATATGACTTAGCATATCTTCGGAGCCGAAAGGCCGATTGGCATAACATTTGATAATATTCTGCGACACTCACCAACAGCAACTAGCCGAATGGGGCAAGTTTAGCTAGAAATCGCTTCAGCCATTGTAGAAAAAAAAAACGATTAGTCGATTAGTACATGACACTTGACCTTCCGAGTCTTGAATCAATAATACGACACCATCCTTCCATAAGGGCCTAAGTGGCTAATGTAAACAATGAGTTTCGTTTTGCAAATTTCTCGAGAATGAAAGTTTGCCCATCTCCATCATCGTGTAGGGGTAAATTCTCTCCAAATCAAGCTGAACAATGCATTAGATCCTAAGTAACATTGATCAATTCTCTTCATCGATTATCTCTTTCGGTAATAACTTGGGTACAGAACCGTTTCTTGTCATGTTTGTCGTATTAGAAGATAGATGATAGCTTCTTTCATCGACCTGCGTGCTGAAAATAGCTGGGCATGTCTTAACATGGCCATGAGGACGCAAAGAGAAAGGCGACGAAGAGAATCTGTCAATGTTACTCAGGACCTAATGTATTGTTCAACATAAATTGATAAAACTGTGGACATTCGTGGAATGATTTAGATTCACGAGCAATTTGCAACTTGAGCCCTTATGAAAGAACACTGTCGAAATGATATTTAAATCTTTTCGGTACATCTTGGAGTACAAGGAAGTGAAAAGGATCCAGGAGTTCCTATAGTAACGGAAACCACCACCCTGCAAAGATCAAACGACGTTCAATTTCGCGAAACAGAAAACAAACACAAACATGCAAACATTTTAGTGATAATCAATTGTAAAAAGAAAAGAAAAAATTAAGGAAAAACGCAAGACAAATGCATGAAACATAATCGTTTTTAAAAGTAATCCCTTTTTTATCAAGATCTCGGTGATTTTAGCGTGTAAGACTTCAGACACTAACACACACTCATACACAACAAAAAAAGAAACAATGCTAAACACATTTTCTATCGGATCAAAACTCAAAACAAAAGATGAAAAATCAGATAAAACTCTCTTCTTTATGAACCATTAGAAAATACAGTGAATCAATTATAGGTGAAAATTTAAACTAAAAGCTTCGTGTAAATAGATTGCTCACATTAGGAATCTAGCACAAATCAGAATTTGAAAAAGAACCTTATCGGATTCCAAATTTCCCTGTAATTGTTTTACTGAGAGACGCACATTTCTTTTGTATTCTTACTTTTTGTTTTGTAAATATGTATGTATACGAACCTTCGGTTTTACTTTTGCATTTAATTTCATCCTATTATTTGGGAACTATTCTTTCAGTATACCGGTCGGTCAGAACACTTCGGATTAAAATATTTAAGCGAATTTCACCCCGTACTTCTTTCCTCCCAACTAGATAATGAACCCGTAGAAAAGCGTGAGAATTGTAATCACGCGTAACACTCACAAAAACCGAACGCCGAACGCAAAGCATGAGCATGAGAATATACTTAAAATTACCATTTTATTTTAATATGAATATATTATTTCTTCAGTTTAAAATTATCGTTTCTGTCTTTCGATTGGTTGAGTTGATATTCTGTATCATATAATGAGGGTAGTAGACAACACTTAGTGCATAGGAAAAGAGAAAATTTCGAAAAAACAAATACACAAACACACAGCTGTAGAGAAAGTAAAACAAAAATTATATATTTAATAACTTAGATATCGGTTAGACGGAGCGATACGAGTGTGGTGGGCTGATTGAATGAATCGAGGAACCGAGTGAGTGAGAAATGACGAGCGAATAGCATTCTCCTAGGATGGATCTAGCTAAAATATCATATTAAGCTAAACTTTACGGAAACAAATAGTGTGATCTTTCCTTCTGTGTACAGACAAAACTGGTGACTACGAGTAAATAATATGAAGAACTAAACATTATGATGTAATATTAAACGATTGATTACAACCAATAATTATAAACGGCAAACGAATCGGTGTAGTTTCTCGTCTGTTCGCATGTGATCTCTTTGGGCGAAATAACCAAATGGGAGAAGAAAGGTCGACGAGAAAGATACCGACATAAATCTGTTTGTGCATGGTGGTTTATGAATACATTAAGAAAGAGAGTAAATGAACGCAGCAAGATACAATGTGGATTGCAGTCGATAAATTGAGCAGGTGAAAGCGTAGCATTGTAGATTGTATAAAACAAATTTTAAATTTAATTTAAAACAGAATAAAAAGTGGTTATCTAAAAAGCATTGTGGTTTAGTTACTTCAATTATTATCCGAAACTACCATTCCTTGTACACTCAAGTCTTTTCTTTACATGGTTATTTCAACGCAGTTTTTTCCACGGGTGGCGTCGCTGAGTCGCAATTTACACGGTACGTTTATAACGATTTCCTGATAACGATACAACCTATCGACTTGATTCAAATCACATTGGTGTAAATACAGAAATTTTTAAAATATATCTATATGAACCTTACTTACTCACTTATCCTGGTCCGACATCCCTCAGGATTGCACCTGCATCACAACGTTACGTCAACTCACTCGGTCCGTGGCTGCTTGTCCCCAATTTCTTGACCGTCCCACACTTTCAAGATCCTGCTCCACTTGGTCTAACCACCTTGCTCGCTGTGCTCCTCTTCGTCTTGTACCGGCCGGATTCAAGACAAATACCATTTTTGCGGGATTGTTGTCCGGCATTCTTAAAACGTATCCCGCCCATCGTACCCGTCCAGCTTTCGCAACTTTATGGATACAGGGTTTGCCATAGAGTTGCGCCAGCTCGCACCACGCCAAAGATGGTCCTAAGCACTCGTCGTTTGAAAACACCCAGTGCTTGCAGGTCCTCCTCGAGTATCGTCCACGTCTCGTGCCCGTAGAGAACTACCTGTCTTATCAGCGTCTTGTACATGGTACATTTAGTACGGAGGTGAAGTTTACTCGACCTCAGGGTCTTGTGGAGTCCGTAGTAAGTACGACTTCCGGCAATAATACGCCGACGAATTTCTCTGCTGCAGTTGTTATCCGACGTCACCAATGATTCGAGGTACACAAATTCATCCACCACCTCGAACTCATCCCCGTCGATTGTCACGCTTCTGCCTATGCGAGCCCTATCCCGATCGGTTCCTACAGCTAACAGATACTTTGTCTTCGACGTATTCACCTTTAATCCAACCGTCTCTGCTTCACGTTTCAGCCTGGTGTACTGCTCCGCCACGGCCTGAAACGTTCTTCCGACAATGTCCACGTCGTCAGTGAAACAGATGAACTGGCTGGACTTATTGTAGATCGTGCCCCGCATGTTAAAGTCCGCACGTTTCATAACACCTTCTAGTGCAATGTTGAACAGGAGGCAGGAAAGACCATCGCTTTGTCGGAGTCCTTTGCGAGTTTCAAACGAGTCCGATAACCCACCCGATATCTTCACGCAGTACTGTACACCATCCATCGTAGCCCTGATCAGTCTGGTCAGCTTCCCGGGAAAACTGTTCTCGTCCATAATCTTTCATAGCTCTTCACGGTCAATAGTATCATAGGCAGCCTTGAAATCGATGAATAGGTGGTGCGTAGGGACTTGATATTTACGACACTTTTGGAGGATCTGCCGCAACGTAAAGATTTGGTCCGCTGTCGATCGCCCGTCCACAAAACCGGCTTGATAACTTCCCACAAATCTGCTTGCTAGCGGCGATAAACGGTGCACCAAAAACGGTGAAAAATGATCTGGAAAAGCACTTTGCAAGCCACGTTACAAATAATAGCCCGTGTAAAAAAAGAACTCAGTGTACTTAATTTCATTCAAAGACACAATCTACGTACACTGAAGTCTTTTTTTACACGGTTTTTTTTTACGCGGTTTTTTTTTACACGGTTTTTTTTACGACGATTTTCGAAATAACGCGGTTTTTTTTTACGCGGTTTTTTGAAATAACGCGGTTTTTTTTTACACGGTTTTTTGAAATAACGCGGTTAAAGAGCCAAAACATTCTAAGTGTTTTCTGAGGAATGGACTTAGCCAAAAAAACAAACTTGGAAGTGTACATCGAGTGGATTCACCCGACAACATGAGTACATACATATTTTCGGAACGGGAACGACGTGTAGAGGCCGGAAATCGATGATTCATGCCATTTTGGAATCCAAGATGGCGGCTTCCGGTTTTGTGAAAAACTGTCAAATAGCCAACAATATGGATATTTTTGGAACGGGAACGACGCGTAGAGGCCGGAAATCGATGATTCATGCCATTTTGGAATCCAAGATGGCGGCTTCCGGTTTTGTGAAAAACTGTCAAATAGCCAACAATATGGA